TCTAATTTTTTGTAAAGATAATCTATGAATGAAGACTTAAAAAATAGACCGGTTGGATCATTGACTTTCGTTTTGTGGTCACAATCTTCTTGACTTTCGTTTTCTTCTTCCTTTTTACTTAAAGTCTCAAGATACAAAATTCAAATCAACAAATTTGGTATCACTTCAAATGATGGATGAGTTTGAATCATAAACAATGGCACAAGAAATTAAAAACATCATTAACAATGGGTTGCTTGTTTTGTAGTTTATGTGCCCTTCCTGTTTTGAAGAAATTACACAATACTACCGTAGCACTAGTTGGCGTTGCTGATTGGTATTACGATCCAATAAGATTAAGCCATGTGTACAGCTTAGACATGTCAAGGATTAACAACAATCTATTAACTTTGTTGCTAACAGTATAAGCTGTACACATGTCTGAATCTTATTAATCCGTAGTACCAATCAACAACACTAGATGATGCTACGATAATAAATATTACCATTTGACAAAAAAAAAATTATTTGTGTCACTTCAAAGTTCGTGCAATTGAAGGTTGATCTTTCCTGTGCCTCATGTCCATCTCATGCTCTCAGTTTTGTCAATCTTTGCATACGCATCATTTTTCGTTTGTAAAAACCTCAATTTTGATCTCAAAGTCCTTATCAATTTCGCTAGAACTCTCGTCACCATGTTTCAACTTGAAATATCTCCAATCCAAGAAAATACATATATGACTCTTCTTTTTTATAAATTTTTATAAACCAATCACATGGTAATCAAATAAGCATGTAAACGAAACAAACATCGAATTGCAGAAACATAAAGTACGTATTTGAATCGATTACAACATATTCATCAAAATACTTACACGTATATTAGACTCTAAGGAACGTTTAGAAGGGTGAAGTTGATGTTGAAGTAGATTTCATTGAGAAACTAAGCAGATTGATGAGAAGTGTTAATGTAATTTGGATCTATATCAATTTTTCTAAAGAAAGAATCCTAACCATATCTAAATTTGCACCGGATTTTATTTACCTTAAAAAAAAGGAATCAAATTTGATCTTTTATCAAATATAGTGAAATTTGTTTTCAGATACAATTATTAAAAACTTGATTATATTAATATAATTGGAAATTTGATTTTGATTTCTGAGTCAATTCAAAATTCCAATTCTTTATCTCTATATATATTTTTTTTGTAGGATTATGATATAATTTTTTGTTAATATCCAATAATTAGTAAAATATGAAATTGAAAAAGTACGAATAATATATATATATATATATTATTCTCTTATCCGGATGTCCATACGTGATTATCGTGCGGATGCTATTGTAAACAAGCAGGAAAGCAGAGAGGGGTAGTACAAAATACATGGTGTCCGCATGATAATAACATCCGGATGTCCGCATAAGCGAATTTCTGTATATATATATATACGTGCTTTATCCGGCAAAATTTTGCAAGATACAACTTGTTGATGCTCTTTTTGGGGAGGGTCAACTTAGGAAGAAAGTGTAGGAAGGTGGTATCTTCAGTAGGGAAGAAGGTGAGGACCTTTGGTAATCGAATGACCTGCAGAAGATAAGAGGAAGAAGCAGTTGTCAAGCTTCGGACACAGATGTGGTGCCTGCCGAAGGCTCTCCGATGTTTAAGTCAGCTATTTATGGTAATTTTGGCAGAGTAACAGTAAAAGTGAGAAAATAGTTACCCCTTTTTGTCTTGGGCACTGTTCCCTATTTATAGAGTTGTAAAAATGGGAGGCTTGTACAAAATTCCGATGTAGGACTTTGTGCAAGTTGCTGTGGTGGTGACACGTGTCACTGGTGGCTAGGTTCGGCAGTCGGGAGCTTCGGCAAATGTTGGTCGCCTTGGAAGAGTGTCTTCCTTCAGCAAGGAAGAAGAAGTGACTTCCTTCGGCAAGGAAGAAGGCGTGTTTGCCACGGTGCTAGTCGTTTTGGTGCTAGATGTGCTCGGTTGATTATGGTGTAAACAGTAGTCCCCCAAGTTCGCGGTGGAGAAGTAACTTCTGGGTTGGGAACTTGTAAGATTTTGCATAATCATGACCGAGCATTCCTGAGTCAGTGGGAGCCGTAGGACATTTCCTAGTCCCCCAAGTTGGCAAGCTAGAAGTTGCGCCATCCTTTGTCAGGTATGGTAGAGGCTGGGTGAGCTTGGTCTGACCTCTTGGCAAGAAAGCGGCGAGGGCCTAGGGTATGAGCTCAGTTTCGACAAGGGAGCCAAGGGGGGTTGTGGCTAGTCATGAGTCTTGCCTTTCGGCAAGGAGGCCAGGGCTGGGCTCCGTGGCGTCACCTTCGGCAGGCTTGTGGAGCTGGGCTCTGAGTTCAACAAGAGAGATTTTTTTTTTTTTTTAGACCCCTAATTTTCTTTTCCCCTCTTTCCTTATGCATGGTGCCTGCCGTTCGGCAGGTTTCCCCTTTTTATTTTTATTTTATAATTTGAAGCCAGACCTTCGGCAGGTGTCAAAATTTGGACGTGAGCTCGTAGGACATCCGGCACGACCCTTGCCGTTCGGCAAGGGATTGGGCCTTTGGCTTGGTGTGTTTTTGTTGCTTTGTGGGCCATTGGGGCCTTTGGCAATGTGGCTCGAGCTTCGGTAGAGGGCCTATGAACCTAGGTATGAAGGATTTTGGATACGCTGCCTGGGCCTTCTATGCGTGCTCTCCCGTTTGGCGAGGAGGCCGGGTACTGTTTGTACCATATCTGACCCTCCACTCATACTGTGACATGTGGAATGGCAAGCTCTCCCAATCGCCTAGACGAGCACACAATCGGCATCAGCCACTGATCACACCGAGCCGAGTCTACAATCGGTATGAGTTGACGATTCTGCAGAACAAACCTCGAAGGCCCCGCCCTAAATATCCAAAGACTTGTGTCAACCTCAAAAGACCCTCCCACGAGTCCCACATCGAAATTAAGTACTAAGAGCATACCAAATACCCTCTATAAATAGGCCCCTTTACTACAAGATAAGGGTAAGACTTTTCAGCTTGACTTTTATGCTAAATACATTGTCAGTGGCTAAAGCTCTTAGAAAGAAACTTACTTCGGCATCGGAGGGTCTTAGGCTGGTTCCACACCTGTAATATAGACCTCACGAGCCTCGGCTTCCCTTGATTCAGGATCGGAATCCCAGGACGGGAAGAACCTGCATCAAGCACTCAATCGATCCTTGATCGTCCACATCACCTGTAAGATGCACTTATCTCTATTAGTTTAGTTTTAGTGCCAACAGATTGGCGCCGTCTGTGGGAATCGTTTATCGATCAACATATCTCAAACTTTGAGCCAAAAATGAATCCATCTTCATCCCTCCCTACCGATGGTCCCATCCTCGGCATCGGTAGCGGAGCGAACCCCGCTCCCATGCCCAGCACGCCACGAACAGAAACACCTGTTCACCAAAACACTCTGGAAGCTCGCATGGAAGCTCTGCAACGAGAAATGGCAAAAATGCAGGAGCAGAACAATATCCTCTCTTCTAAACTTGATGACACCCGGAGGCAACTTCACGATCAACAAACACACTCAGTCCAACTGCAGGATGATCCGAAGCATACCAGACAGCTTCGATAGGAGCAGCCATTCAAAAGTGTGCCGAAGCCCAGCGGTCGCGACAAAGGGAAACAACCTACAGCAGGGAAGCCGTCCGCTTCCCGCAAACTATTCGTGCCTACCCCAAAGGAATGCCGCCCAGAATACCAAGTCTACTTCGACTGTCGGGATAGGATCAACGATCGGCACAAGGAACGACAGTCATCGCCCATCCCGATCCAAGCAAAACTCGACGATCGGCGTCTGGAGTTACTCGGACCGAAATCCCCCCTACGCCGAAGGTACAAACCAATCGGCCTGGAGGAAACGGATGAATTAGATTACGTTCCAACTTCACCAGGAATAACCAACTCTTTTCGATCGGCAGGACCAGGACCGTCAAGAAAAGGGCACTATAGTCACCGATCAAACAAAGAGAACGATCGGCACAAGGGAGGCTACGGGAGGAACTCGAACCGAACGGCAAACCAAGAGACACAGGGCCACAACGCTGGCCGACGAACAGAGAACCGAGCGGCGGAAACCTTATGTGAAGACCTCCCTCATGCCGACCCAACCATCCGTCTTCTCCTCCAGAAGATGAACCGGATCGAGGAAGAGCAAAACCAAGCTCGGACACCAACATGGGGAAAGGTACAACCGGGACCATTCACCAATCACATCCGAACGTTCAGACACGAAAAAGAGGTCCAAGCACTCTGAATATCGTTCTACACATGGGTGGAAGATCCCGTGACTCACATCCATACCTTTCAATCGGCTTTGGGTTGCAAGGGGCTCACTGACGAAGGCCAATGCTTACTATTCTCCTCCACCCTGGCCGGAGCCGCCTTGAATTGGATCTACTGATTGGAGCCAGGTACGGTTGACTCTTTTGATCAGTTGAAACAAACCTTCCTCAACCATTTTATGATTCAGACCGATCGCCTATATTCTACCGATCGCCCATTCACCAACAAGACGATGAGCCCCTGAGGGAATAAGCGGCCAGGTTCAACCACGAATATTCTCGATGTCCCGAAACCGACGACAGGGCGGCCTTCGGTGCTTTCAAAAGTGGCCTTCGGTCATCACAATTTCGCTATCTGGTCCACAGTAGCAACTGGACCACCTATGCCGAACTGATGAAACAGGCAGCTATCAACGCCAAAGTCGAACACTTCAACTCCAAAGGGTCGACTTCGGCACCACCGTACAAGATGACACCCGTCGATCGGCCTTTGACACAAACCTACGACCGATTCCCAGCGAATCGAACGACAAACCAGGCCCCCTACCGAACGGCACCCCCTGTCTTCGCTCCTTACGAAGCAAGAAACAAGCGGAAGGACAACTTCCAAGATCGGCAGGCAGAGCAACTTCATAGATCTGAAGAAGAACCGGTCGGAAGAAACCTTCACTTTGCTCAACACCACCTACGAGCACGTCCTCATGACAGAAAATCAGATGATTCCGAAGCCGAACAACCGCAAGCTCCCTCGAAAGAACGAGAAGGACACCGGCGTCTTCTGCCGATACAACCAATACAATGGCCACGATACGGAATCGTGCATCGCGCTTCGCAAAATCATCGAACGCCTCATCAATGAAGGAAAACTGGATCAGCACCTAAGCACAAAAATGGCATCGGACCAACCACCGAATCGGCAGATCAAAATGATCAGCGGAGGGGCGCCCATAGCTGAAGCCAGCAATCGTTCCATAAAAAATTACATTCGTGCCATTCGGCACCCCCAGATCCTAAGCGTAGCGGGAGGACGCAACGACAAGATCCGACGAATCGGCTGGGAACCTATCACTTTTTCTAAAGAGGAAGAAAGAGGCATCATCTTCCCCCACTCCGATCCCATGATCATACGAGCCGATATTTCCGACTTCGATGTGGGCCGAATCCTCATAGACACCAGCAGTTCGGTCAACGTGCTATTTGCTGACGCTTTCAATGCCCTCGGCATAGACCCTCAGCATCTAAACAAAGACATCACCCCCTTCTGAGCTTTTCGGGCGACGTGGTTGAGCCGATCGGAAGTGTCCAGCTCCTGTTCGTCATCGGCACTATCCCCAAACGAATGGTCATCTACACTCACTTCCTAGTAGTCGATTGCCCAATGGCATACAATGCCATCATTGGTAGGACAGCGCTCACCAAAATGAAGAACATGCTGTCACCACACATGCTCCTCCTCAAGTTCCCCACACACGCTGGCATCGGCCAAGTGCGAGGGGACCAGTTGAGTGCACGGACATGTTATGTTTCGGCAACAAAGGAATCGGCAAGGGCAGTGCTTTGCGAAGCATACTCAGTTTCCCCCAAGATGACTGTACCGAACGGCAAGGGGACGGAGAAACCAGATGATCTCAGGGATGAGGCCGTCACCCCACAAGCGCAGCCCATTGAAGATTTAGAATCGGTAACCCTCTCCGAGACACAGCCCGACCAATAGGTCCGAATCGGTACCACCTTAAGTTCGGCACTGCAAGCCGGTACCACCAGAAGTCTTCGCCAGGTCTTATAATGACACACCCGGCATCGCCCCCAATGTCATTAGTCACAAGTTCAGCATTTGTCCCACCTTCAAGCCCATCTGACAGAAACGGCGAGCCTATGATACCGAATGGTACGAAGCAATGAGGCTCGAAGTGGATAAACTACGGACAATCGGCTTCATCCAGGAAGTGACTTACCCAATTTGGTTGGCAAATTCGGTTTTGGTAATGAAATCAAACAGCGCCTGGAGAATGTGTTAGGATTATACCGATTTAAATAAGGCTTGCCCAAAAGACAGCTTCCCTTTGCCGAGGATCGATCAGCTGGTAGACGCCACAGCAGGCCATGAACTTCTCAGCTTTATGGATGCATACTCAGGCTACAACAAGATATTCATGAGCCCTGCCGACTGCGAACACACGGCATTCATCATTGACAAGGGACTCTACTGCTACAATGTTATGCCGTTCGGCTTGAAGAACGCAGGAGCAACATACCAACGATTGGTCAACAAAATCTTTTCCGAACTTATTGGCACTTCAATGGAAGTTTATGTGGACAACATGCTCGTCAAAAGAAAAACGGCCGATTGTCATCTCCACAACCTCTCCCTCATGTTCGGCGTCTTGAAGAAGTATAACATGCGCCTCAACCCAGACAAATGCGCCTTTGGCGTCTCCTCTGGCAAATTTCTTGGCTTCATGATCAGCCAACGAGGCATTGAGGCCAACCCTGAAAAAATCAAGGCGTTGCTTGACATGAAGATATCGAGGACACAGAAAGACATCCAAAGTCTCACCGGGCGTGTCGCCGCTCTGGCCCGATTCATATCAAAAGCCACCGATCGGTGTGCCCCATTCTTTAAAGCCCTCAAAGGAAGCAAACGGCAGATTGTCTGGACTGCCGAATGCGATCGAGCTTTCCAAGACCTTAAGGCCTGCATGAGCAAAGCACCCCTATTGTCTAAACCTCTTCCCGGAGAACAACTTATTCTCTATCTTTCGGTTTCTGCAATGGCACTCAGTTCCGTACTCATCCGCAAGCCGAACGGCTTAGAACTCCCAATCTTCTATACCAACCACGCCTTGCAAGACGCTGAGATTCGGTACCCTCAACTGGAAAAACTCGCCTACGCTCTCTTCCTCTCAGCATGTAATCTTCGGCCCTACTTTCAGGCTCACACCGTTGCCGTTCTCACCAATCAGCCTCTACGCCAAATACTGCAGAGGCCAGATACGTCAGGTAGGCTAGTCAAATGGGCCATCGAGCTCAGCGAATTTGACATCCACTATCACCCTCGGCCTGCCGAGAAGGGGCAAGCCGTAGCTGATTTCATCTCCGAAATCACAACTTCATCACAAGGGGCAAATCCAGACGACCTTGTCTCCAAACCAGCTTGGGTAGCCCTGGTCGCCCACCCGACCGAAGGAATCTTTAACCAAGCAATTCCCCTTTGGACTCTCTATGTGGACGGTTTGTCCAACCGACAGGGCAGCGGGGCCGGCTTAGTACTAAGAGCCCCTGACCAAACGGCAATCGAATATGCCATCCGTTTCCAATTTCAGGCCTCCAACAATGAAGCCGAGTACGAAGCCCTCTTGGCAAGCCTTCGGCTTGCTAAAGATATGGGAGCCAAACAACTCAAGATCTACAGCGACTCTCAACTTGTCGTTAATCAAGTGCTTACCGAATTCGAAGCTAAGGACACATCGATAGCTGCCTACTTGACACACGCCCGCCGATTGCTCCACCACCTTAGCACGTATCAGGTTCAGCAATTCCCCAGATTCGAGAACAGCCACGCCGATGCCCTGTCACGCCTTGCATCGGCAATCGACGACAAAGTAGGCCGTCACATGCCGATCGAAGTCCTCGCTCGGTGTAGCACAATTGAAACCGAGGTACATGCCGTTCGGCAGAACCCAAGTTGGATGGATCCAATCCACGCCTACCTCACCGACGGCACTCTACCAACTGACAAAACCGAGGCCAAAACCATCCGCTGCCGATCGGCACAGAATCTCCTTCTGAATCAGACCCTCTACCGACGTGGTCACTCCTTGCCATTGCTCCGATGCGTCACGCCATTACAAGGTGACTACGTCTTATGAGAAATTCATGAAGTGGCCTGCGGAGACCACTCTGGCGCCCGGTCCCTGGCCTTCAAGACCATTCAGCAGGGGTATTATTGGCCAACTCTCCATACTGATCCCATGAAGCTCATCCAGAAGTGTGACCACTGCCAGCGTTTTGGCTCCGTTCCAAAACTGCCTGCCGAACCACTCACTCCAATTGTCAGCCTGTGGCCCTTCGCTCAATGGGGTTTGGATCTCATCGGCCCCATGCCACAAGGGAAAGGACAACTTAAATTCGACATCGCCGCCATCGACTACTTTACGAAGTGGACCGAAGCCGAAGCATTGGTAACCATCACCGCAGCCAAGGTCAAGCATTTTGTTTGGAAGAACATTATTTGCCGGTTCGGCCTCCCGAATGCGATCATCACTGACTCCTCTCAGTTTCAGCACCTGTGTCGCCGATTCAACATCAACTTGTTCTTCACTTCTCCAGCACACCCACAATCAAACGGCCAAGTAGAAGCCATCAACAAGATCATAAAGAAGACGCTAAAAAAGAAGCTCGGAGTAGCTAAAGGCGCGTGGCCCGATTTGCTCCCAGAAGCGTTATGGGCCATCAACACTTCCTACCGAAGGTCGACTGGCGAAACACCGTTTTCCCTCACTTTCGGTACCGAAGCTGTTGTCCCAGTCGAAATCAACGCACCCACGTGCTGAACGACATCTTACGCCCTGGAGCAAAATGAAACACTGCTTACCCTGAACCTTGATCTCATCGAGGAACACTGTTCACAAGCGCAGCTTCGGAATGCCGCATACAAACAACGAACTTCCCGATATTACGATTCGCGCGTCAAATGCCGATCGTTCAAAGTGGGGGACTGGGTCTTGCACAAAGTCTCTCTTGCCACCAAGAACCCCAACGAGGGGACCCTCGGCCCCTCATGGGAAGGTCCTTATGAAGTCGTCACCATTTGCCGACCTGGCACTTACCGATTACGCGATACCGATGGGCAGACCCTTGGTCACCCTTGGAACGTAGAACACATGAAGTATTACTACAAGTGATTAAACCGACGGCCAATACGCTATTTAAACCCACTATGTTCGCTTTCATTATAAAAGTACTTTCGGTATTGATGTTTGCATTCCTATTCTACACATTCAGTAACGCCGTAACGGTAGTATGATACCCAGAACATATTACCTACGGCATGCATACTTGTATTAGAATATGAAACTTCAACACATAAACCGAATCAAAACAAACTTGGATAAAAAGCCACAAAAGGGCTGTATGTCTTAGCAAAAATCGCCATTCGGCATGGTCCAAATATTTACACACAAAAAAAAATCGAGAAGCTAAGAAACGGAAGGTTCGGCATCAGTTGCCACGACACCGGCACCGGCATTCGGGAGCTCAACACCAGTTGGCACAGCAGCGGCAGGAACGCTGGCAAAAGCCGGTACATGATGGCCCCCTTCCTCCTCACTGCTGGAGTCGGCCTCATCGGCAGAATCAGCATCGGCATCTTCTCCCTTATAGGCCTCCACCATCTCCTCGGTGACACCCTCAGGCAACGGAGGCGGATCCCGGAGGAAGTTCAGGTTTAACCTCTTGTCTGCGTTGTACCGCTTGAAGCGGTAGATAAGGTGTTTGTGCCTGATAAATCACGGTCGTACACTAACCGAAGGGGTTTTCCCCCTCGGGCTCAGCACCTATTCACGATCCAAAACGCAGCGCTTTTGCCTTCCTCAAAACAAAGGAAAAGTTGCGAAGGCATAGTCATCTCGGCCTTGCAAACACGGCATCGTCAGGCCGAGGCCGAGGGACGAAGGGGGCACGGCCGAAGATATTAAGAGTCAAATCGTCACATGGCAGCAGGGTCCCACGCTTCATTTAATGAAGTAACGCCTCTGACTAGCAAACCCACTAGCCGCAAAAGGGCATTTAATGCACGAGGGAAGAAGGGAAGTGACTGAAGTCAGGATTTGGTGACAGAAATCGGAGTGGTTAGGCGCAAACATACTTACCAATATTCTTACAAATTGAGGTCAGATTCCCAACCACCAAACAAGGGCATTAAATACGTCCCCACGGCCAGAAGCGTAGAACCCACGATCAGGGCGGCGGCCGAGATTTACCAGGATTCATGGGGTCACACCACCATGCTTCACGATCCCAAATGTCGATTGGACTACCCACTTGCTCTGATCAGGCTCCACCACGCAGATTTTCAGCCTCGATTACTCCTCCAAGAGCTCCTCCTATAAATACCAAGTTCAAGCTACATTCAAAGGGTTCAAACACCAAACCAAGGCGCCGGAGCACCATCTCTGTTACTCTTTCATTCACCCCATATATCATACGATCGTCGCTCCCTGAGCAACGCGCCGGAGCAACGCCCAAAATCCACCATCAACACCAC